CTTTTGTATTTTATATATTTTTAAAAGCCAGCTCAACTCCTTTGAGAAACCAAATGAAACATTTTCATGGAGATTCTGTCTCCACCAGCTAGTGAGTAGGTATTCTTGCACAAATATGTAACACATTAGGTGTGTGGAAGACTAACAACACTCCGTGATAAGTGGCAAATGCCAAAGTGCGTGATGACATAAACAGAACCAGAAGTTGCGTAGCTTACACAAGTGCAAATGATCAATAAGCAGAACGAGAACTGGACATGAGAGTGTGTGACAAGTTCCTAAACATTGTGAGAAAACACGTATTTGGCTCTGTCCATCTATAAAATTATCTTTAAAATAGCCAGGGCTGTGGTGTCTCGGCTGCATACAGCCCAGTCTAGGTGGATGTATGGGTTGGCGTCATGGTCAAGGCTGTTTCTAAATCCATGGCTGACATTCGCCAGCTCTGTGAGGTGGGTGGGGCTGTGAACTCTGGGTCTCTCCTTCAGCATCTGCCAAATGGGACAATAGTGGCACCTATCTCATGGGTTATTGTGATATATTAAGTGACATAAAATGTAAGCTCTTAGGAAGATTCCCTCCATAATAAGCACGTAATACATACTGCTTTTAAAATGAGCACTTGATGTAGTGCCTGGCTTACATAGTAAATGTGGAATAAATAAGTAAATGCACAGATGTGAAAAATTAAGATGTGGAAGTTTCTTAAACTTTTGTCATTTTGTAACTGATGACTGCCTGCCTGAAATGCTTTTTTAAGATTTTCAGTGTATAAAATGTCTTAGCCGTCTCATATCACTTCCCCACATTTTCCTTTTGTCACTATAATGCTGCCATGAAAAACAAAAGTGCGGCCGGGCGCGGTGGCTCAAGCCTGTAATCCCAGCACTTTGGGAGGCCGAGACGGGTGGATCACGAGGTCAGGAGATCGAGACCATCCTGGCTAACACGGTGAAACCCCCTCTCTACTAAAAAATACAAAAAACTAGCCGGACGAGGTGGCAGGCGCCTGTAGTCCCAGCTACTCGGGAGGCTGAGGCAGGAGAATGGCGTGAACCCGGGAGGCAGAGCTTGCAGTGAGCTGAGATCCGGCCACTGCACTCCAGCCTGGGCGACAGAGCAAGACTCCGTCTCAAAAAAAAAAAAAAAACACAAAAAAACAAAAGTGCACAAAAGCGTGAGAATCTGTACAATTTACTCAATTAGCGTGATCAAACTATTTGTCTCTTTACAAAAATTCCATTTTGATCCCCCAAGTTTAACTTAATGTCATTGATTTAACATCTGTTTGGGGCACACCAAAACACCTCCATCTATTCTAAAATGGAATGCTTCAGTCATGCCCAGAGACCCACACCTGTCCTAGTTCAGATAAATTTTCTTAATGAAGGTTTTTCTTAATGAAGGTTTTTCCTTAGGGCCAGGAAGCTTGGGGGTGTGTTAGCGCTTGGCCACGTTCATGAACCCATCTCAAGTGCCTGGACCTGTCAACCATTGTGTTTCTTTATATTGATTATAATTTTGGTTTTCTGATTTTTAGTATGCCTGGGCGTTACATCTTTCCTCCTCCTTTTTTTTTTTTTTTTTTTTTTTTTTTTTTTGAGATGGAGCCTTGCTCTGTCACCCAGGCTGGAGTGCAGTGGTGTGATCTCGCTCACTGCAACCTCCGTCTCCCTGGTTCAAGCAATTCTCCTGCCTCAGCCTCCCGAGTAGCTGGGACTACAGGTGCCTGCCACCATGCCTGGCTAATTTTTGTATTTTAGTAGAGATGGGGTTTCACAGTGTTGGGCAGGATGGTCTCGAACTCCTGACCTCAAGTGATCCACCCACCTCGGCCTCCCAAAGTGTTGGGATTACAGGTGTGAGCCACTGTGCCCGGCCCCTCCTTTCTTTTTTTTCCTTAAAGTCATCTGCTTGTAAGTCATAAATAAGCTCTGAAAATACTAACCAGAAAGAATGTAACACCAATTTGGCCATAGGGTGGCTTCATGTTGTTACAGTTTCAATTTGGGAAGGCGGTAAGGCTTTCTGTCATATTGCTTTTGAAGCTTACAAGGTGAGAAAAGACAAAGACAGCCAAATAAGGAAATCAGTCATTTTAGGTAACAGAAGAAAAATTCTTGAGAGTTGTTTTTGGTGAAATTATGGTCACTCTTATTTTATTTATTTATTTATTTATTTAGAGATGGAGTCTTGCCCTGTCACTCAGGCTTGAGTACAGTGGCGCGATCTTGGCTCACTGCAAGCTCCCCCTCCTGGGTTCAAGCCATTCTCCTGCCTCAGCCTCCCGAGTAGCTGGGACCACAGGCGCCCGCCACCACGCCCGGCTAATTTTATGTATTTTTAGTAGATACGGAGTTTCACCGTGTTAGCCAGGATGGTCTCGATCTCCTGACCTCATGATCTGCCTGCCTCGGCCTTCCAAAGTGCTGGGATTATAGGTATGAGCCACTGCGTCCAGCCTATAGTCACTCTATTAATCAGTTTTTTCTAAAAGTTATCTCCTGTGTGTACAGTCTATGTGTCTTTAAGATAGGCAAAATTATACCCAGCTACATGCTACAGCATGGATGAGCTTGAGGACACTATACTAAAAATTAGCTGGGCATGGAGGCACACGCCTGTAGTCCCACCTACTCGGAAGGCTGAGACAGGAGAATCGCTTGAATTCGGGAGGCGGAGGTTGCAGTGAGCCGAGATCGCACCACTGCATTGCACTCCAGCCTGGTGACAGAGCGAGACTCCGTCTCAAAAAACCTGGCAACCTGGCAACCTGGCGACAGAGGGAGACTCCGTCTCAAAAACAAAAACAAAAAAGGCTACAATGGTTAATTTTATATTATGTGTATTAAAAAGTCCCCCCCCAACCCCCGCCAAAATTGTGGCTGACCTCTCCATCAACAAAATGTCTTTATTCCTTAATTATGACAACTCATTCATATGCTGACCACTTCTTTTCTTTTGGTTCTGTTTCTTACACCAGCGAACCCCCTGAATGCCAAGTCGGCTTTCCTTCGAACTGTATCGTGCATGTGTCAAATGAGATCTCACGCAAAGGTCTTCCCTACTCAGTTTCATTACAAGTGTACCTAGCCTGCCCACAGCGAAGGAGGTATTGCTGGTTCCCTTATTTCATTTTCAGTTCCGTTAGCAAAGTTTGCATAAACATGCACATGTAATCAGTTATGCATGGTGAGCCATAATGAGCTTTGGGGGCAGAGAAAGTCAGTGGTTTTGCTGTTGTAAGAAAGTGTGGTGTTAACAGGTCACAACCTGTCTGCTAAGTAATTAACATACTGTAGGATTATCAGAAAAGGTAATAAGAAAAACAAGTCCCTCTCTTCCGTAACATGGGCAATCTTTCAAAAGAGGAATCTTGATTGAATTTGTCTTTCCTTAAATGAATTCTGGTCTGTGGCCTAGTTCCTTTTATTCTTCAAACCGTTCTCAACCACATCTGTGGAATTCTGTATCAGCAATTGTGAAGCCAGCTGTTGCTGAGAGTCTTTTACTTAAGTTGAAATTAAGAACAGATTTGAGGGTCGTCTACCTGCTGTGAAGTCCTGATGGAGTTACCAAAAACTGCAAATGGTGAGAAAATGTGACTGCCTTGCTTGAACTGCTAGTACATTTTCTACAGTGCTTTCGCCGCCATTGCAAAAATACCCTAACTCTGTGATCCAAGATTTGTATTTGTCAATGTCGTCTTTATCATTATTCAAAATATATGCACAAAAATCAGTAAGAGGAAAATCTATGTTGCGATAACAATAGTGTGTGGGTCAGCAAGGGTTTTTTTTTTTTTCTGTGTGGAAAACAAGGACAGATTGTTAACAATGCTGGTTCCGTGGGAAAGTTCTTAAGATTTCTGCTACTGGGAAAATGAGTAAGGAATTCTCTGTCCCACACACGGGTGCATTTTGCATCCAATCTTGAGGCGATGCTTTGTGGATTATTCAGCAAACTAAAAATTCAGGCATAGAACCTGTTGAAGGCATCCTTACACCTGAATACAGAAGAGGGAGGAACAAATTTTTCACAAAAGTGTTTCAAGCAACGTGCAAGTCTCAACCATGATTAAACCTAAGTCACCATCAGTTTGACCTCAAATTATCCTGTAAATAAAAGACCCCACAAGAGAAAGCTCGGTAAGAAGCTATCTTAGGGTAAACACGGAAGACTCTGGGTGTAGATCACATTAGAAGTGATTTCTTTTGTGTGCGTGTGTGTTTTTAAGAAATGTGTACAAGAACTGAGATAGTTTCCTAAATTAAGATTTAAAATATTCTGTTAACTTTAGATTCAAGCAGTCTTTATAGAATACTCTATTTAAAATATAATCATAATTTTGCCACACCATCCACGAAGGGGATTATCCTATGTTAAATTCTGTATCGATACACCCGTGCGGAAGGGCTGTTTCTTCCCTCCTCCGTGTTCAAATGCAGTGTATTCTCTGAATTTTTTAGTTCCATGAAAAGGAAAGATTTTAGGGAAAAAAAAACCCCAACACATTAGGATTAGTGTAATATTTTTGAAAGCATCAGTGATTAAATAAACAGCCAATTTCCATTCATACACAAAATAGTTACCCATTCCAAACAATACAAAGGGAGTGAACAGCTGTACTCCTGAAACAGTCTTTACCTAGGAATACTTCTTGATAATTTAAATCAAATTTATCCTTAATCCACTCTGAAATCTCTAAATTTTAGTTCAGAAAACAAAAGATTACTCCTTGACTTAGTTGCATAATATAATTCTTCTTTCTCAGATATAATTTAGACAATCCTAATAAATTTACACAAAGATAGGATTAATATTGTTTACTAATGAGTAGCACACCCAACTGTCTAATCAGAGCACTTAAATTTTTGAGCATGAATATTTAATACATATTTTTTAGTTTGTCTTAGATTTTATGCTATAGTATAGGCAGTTTCACTTCCAGCTTTTACGCACTCAAGGCCTTGTTTTTTTTTTTTTTTTTTTTTGCGGTGGGCGGAGTTCTTTTTGGTTTTTACTCTGAGCTATTTTTTATAATGGAAGTCCTCAAGAACCTTTCTAACATAAATGTGCTCAATCACTCCATAACCATTGAACACCATTTCATCACACGTTGAAAGGAGTGGAATCCCAAAGGCTGAACAAATAATTCATTAGACAATAGCAAGGGAAAATGCTTTTTTCCCCCATTTATTTCATTAACCAAAATTATTGTCTGTTATAAAATTACAGAGGGTGGGAGGGGGAAATGAAGAAGTTGGTGAATGGGTATAAACATACAGTTAGATAGAATGAGTAGTTCTAATATTTGGTAGCAGACTAGAGGGACTACAATTAATAACAATGGATTGTGTATTTCAAAATAGATAGAAGACAGAACTTGAAATGTTCCCAACGCATAGAAACAATAAATACCCCAGGTGATGAGTACCCTAAGCACCCCAACTTAATCATTACATATTCTACGCTTGTAACAAATACATGTGCTCCATACATGTGTAAAATATCACATATCACTAAAAGAAAACAAGTAGCCAAAATCAACCATTAATGTTCAACCGTTAATACTGCTGACTTTGCTCCATCCAAATAGTATAATTTACTTAAACATTTCAAAAGAGGAGAAGCTCTCCTGGGCCATTCCAAGGGCAGTGCCCTTACTGCCTAACGGTTACTTTAAGAGTTTGAAGCCATTAAGACAGTTGAAATGTTGGCAACGCTAAATATGGTTACAGGAATAGTATGGAAACTTGTATTAAACATTTGATTTTTACACCTTTTTTTGGTGTGTGTGGAGTGAGCTAGGAATAGTGCATTGACTAATGACCACCAGTGACTTGTGTACAATCAATGTGAACACGTTTCAGTTGTAACAAAATGATGCTGGCTCTCCAGCTGCCATTTTCTAGGTCTGCCACACCAGACACCAGGACTTAACTCTTGCTCATCCATCAAAGTATGCTCTCAGATTTCACATGCGTTGTAGATAAATGTGTAAGAAAGGAAATCGTTTAAAAGCACAATATTATTGTAGACAGACAATGCCCTGAGTGAAATCACACGTGGGTGACTTAAGACAGGGCCCTAAACCGGCTACAAAAAGGAAGCAAGTCATGAACATTTTACAGTTTTATGTGGAGGGGTTTGGAAGTCTTGATCACCATTCAATGATCTACCTTGTCCATTTTCAACACATGGAAATTATTAGTGCAAGATTGTACTTTTAAATAGACCCAAGAATGCAGATGAATGTAGGTCTATAGCACTGACTTATATTCATTCCAAAATCCTACCAAAAAGCTATTAAAGTGTCAAGTCTTCAACTTTTAATCTTTGTTACTACCTACATGTAGTATGTGTATACAAGCCATTTATAGCTTTGTAATTAATTGAATTTGGGGATACTTTCTTTGTGCATTTTCACAGTGTACTGAAATGAATGGTGGGCACGTCAATACTTTTCGGTGAATCAGACTTAAATGTGACTGTTGAAGAATACATCCCACTTAGGCATTCATGCTGAAGCCAGCAACAATTGTCCGTGACCTTTAACACGCCTGCTCTCCAAATCAGTGCAGATCGTCAGTCACACGGAGCTTACATTTTAGGACTCGCGGATCCTTCATTGCAGAGGTTCTCCCTGTCTTTCTGCCTGACTCCCCCCGCCCCCCGACCCCGACCCCCCCCTCAAACATCACACATGCAGAATGGCCCCGCGGCTGAGCTCCAGCCTTCGGGCACAAGCGCCTCCCTTTGCAGCGCGTCTGGAGTAGTTTCTTTTGTAAACGCCCTAAGTTGGGGAGGGCCGCGGGCCGCGAGTATGAGGCGCAAAGGGAGACGCCGCCGCGGAGGTAACCGCCAGGATTGCAGCGCTGACTGCTGCGCGGAGCCACGTTGGGCGTCTTGGACAGAATCCACCTCCACTGCGGAGTTATCACGAGGAGGAGAACAATATGGCCAGGAGCCTGGAGGGAGAAGCTAGTGTTACCCCTCCGCAGGCCGCAGCTCCCCGGGTCTACGTCACCGGCGGTGAAGGGGCGCTCGCCCTCGCTCGCTCCGACCCGCCCCTCCCCTCCCCCGCCCCCGCGCGCCCTCCCTCCCCTCCCCCACCCCAGCCCTCCCTGCCCTGTACCAGGAGAGCATTTTGGAGTCCAATTGGGATTTCTAGTCCCAGACTCAACTTACTACAACTAACTACTGCCCGTGGGGAGTAGGTGAGGTGAAGAAATGAAGTTTTAAGAACAGAAAAATAAGAGTTGAACTTTGAAGGCTACCAGTAAACAACCCCTTCATTTTTAAATGGCCATGTGGCAGAGCCGCTGTTTGAAGTCTTTCCAGCGGGACCTCTGTGACCCTTGATTCGGGACTTAATGTATTGATCCTGCGTCTGAACACCCCCAGAGGCATTCACCAGGAAGTTGAGTGATACGCACACGCTACGCCGTGTGTAATGCACACGCACCTGGGACCCCCGAAGGGGTGTCCCCATTTCAGTCCAGCTGGGGCGCAGTGCCCAGGTGCCCGCCGGCGGGACCCGCATCCCGAGCACGTCTGTACGTGTGGATGCGCGTGTGCGCGCGGAAACGGCCTCCGGGAGCCGGGGCTGCCGCAGCCTTAGACCTTGACGAGGGGCGACCACTGGCCGCTGGAATCGTGATTCAGTGCTATTAGGGGAGGAATTGGCTGTGTCTGAGTCACAGCAAGCCTCCAGACTGTCCCCGCAGTGTGGCAGAACTTTGTGCTGATGAGACAATAGTGGAGTGTGCGTTTCCTACAGGGCAGACCATTCCCGGGCTGGGGGAAGCCTCCGGCCTGCGCCGGGCCGTGGGCGCCCGGCCCCCTCTCCGTGCAGCGCAGCCCCCCGAGCCCGGCCGGCGCCGGGGCCCCCGCAGGGCGAGCGCGTCCAGTGCGCGCGCGGGCGGCGCGGGGAGGGGGCCGGGCGCGTGGTGGGCCCCGCGCGCCCTCGCGCGTCCCCCGCGCCCGGGCGCAGCTGGCGCGGTCGGTCTAGTGCAGCGCTCGGCTCCGCGCCGCGGGCGCTCGGCTTCACCTTCAGATGCGCGGGGCGTGCGCGTCCTCCTCCCCAGGCCCGCCGCCTCCCCGCCAAGGTAGGGGCCGCGGGCGGGGGGAGGGCTGCGCCGCAGGGGCCGCGGGCGGGCGGTGGGCGCGGGGCCCGGAGCCCCGACGTGCCCCGGACTGTGGTGTGCGCCGCTGGGGGTGGTGGGGAGGCGCCGGGGAGGGGGGTGCGCCGGGGAGGGGCCCCCCGGGCGCGGGGAGGGCTACTTGGCTTTCCCTGTGGGTAGTTGGTCTGCTCTGCAATTCCAGGATAGGGGAAGATGCAACTTCGGGCGGCGGGGCGAGCGCCCGGGAGGTGGTTTTTACCGCAGTGGAGGGGCGGGGTGGGGGCCGGGGTGGGAGCGCGGAAGAGGCTCTGGCTTTGTACACTTCGTCAAAGGCGACGCGGGAGGAGGGGAGCTCGGATGCGCTCTCCATCCATTAGGAGACAAAGAGCAAATTGCCTTACTTTAAAGTAAAACGCTCCGGCTAATGAAGGTGGGTGATGGGGCTGCGGGCCCGAGGAGCCGCTTCAATTATTAAGGGTTTGGCGGATGGGATCGATGCCTGTGGGCACAGCGCGCTGCTGCCTAGGGGACGTATTTGCGTGGAGGGGGGTGGCCTTGTTTTTTACGGCCCCCTCCCCGGCTGCTTGCCAGTCTGCGGGGAGCTTCTAAGTGACCCTAACGTTAAAGAAGTGAGAGGTCCTGGAAGGGAAGTTCGGGCGGGGGTGGGGGTGGGGGCGAGGGTCTGGCACCGACTCGAAGAGGGGTGGGCAGGGACTCCTCGGAGCTGCGCCCCGCCGGGCGCGGGTGGGGGAGGCCTCGGTGGCGAGATGAACCCGGGTGTATGAAGGAAGAATGCGGTGGGGTGTGTGTGGTTGGGCGGGAGGTGGGGGGAGGCGCCTCCGCTGCCATTTCCAGGGAGAACTAACAGACTGAATAGTTACGATCAGTATTTAGATTAAACCGCCTCAAGTTTTAAAGAAACTTTGTATGAATAAGTTTGTTAAACTGCAGCCGAGTGGGGTATTTAAAAGCAGCAGTTTATGTGTGCGGTGAGGAAAGCCAGTGGACCCCCGCAATTAGGGACCAGAGGGAACCAGCCTTTTATCCGAAAAATGTGGGTCTGTAAGTCAGCCCCATCTATTATCAGCGTTAATAAGCTTCCCGCAGCAGACCGGGATCAGACAGGGAGCTCTGGGGGCTGTGTGTCTTACTCATTCCGCTGATAAAGAGTCACTGGGTCTCTGGGTGTGCAAAGATCAACTTGCGCAGTCCTCTTTTCAAATATATTCATTCTGTGCTTTATTTAATCCAGATGCACAAAAAGCCATTTGCTGCTTCATTGTTGGTTTACATTTTTTGAAAAGGCGACTGGTGTAACCTGTGGAATTTGAAATGCAAATAAGAGCCTGTGGGAGTAGAGGCAGAACAGATCAGCATTTATAAAGTGGAAAAGATTTAATGTCTTTGAAATCATTGCAGGGGAAGAAACCGGAGGGGGAGTGTGATTTTTCAGGGAGTGAATTGTGACGTCAGGTCTTTTTGGAAAAGATGTTATTTTTAAGGTCTGAAACCCGGGTAGGTAAAGTGCTTACAGGAAAAACAGATTACAAGATTAACATCTGTTAACATGATCGTTTATCTCCAGCCAAAAATAGGTCAGTTCTTTCTTAAGGAAACACGATTGCTGGCGCATGCTTAAATAATAAAATCAAAAGGACGAGTTCATAAATTAGGAACGAGCGTTTGTTGCAATCTGACCTGTGAAGAAACGTTTTTTAATTTTGAGAGATCAATGGAAGGTCAAAGTCCCTTTTCGGTGTAGAGAACAACTCTTTCCCCAGCGTTGGCCCTCGGCCCCCGCCCCCTCCCCCCCCCGCGGGATGACCCCTCCTTCTTACTCGGAGCTCCCTTTCCGCCTCCACTCCCTTCGTTAATTTCCCTTTCCATCCTTTGTGGAAGTACAAAATATATTTAAATGGATATCGTCTGACGCCTCCCTCCTTAAAGAAGGCAAACTCCGCGCAGATGGCTAACTTTCAGAGCTCTGCTGTTGTTTTACCATTAAATGAAACGGTAGGGAGGAGAGCAGAGAGAGAAAAAAAAAAAAGGAAACAGCTTTGCGAAGTCTCCCTGCCCCCTGGGCATGAGTGACGGCTCTGTTGGCCAATCCGCAGCGGCTTTCTCCATCCCGGAGGTAATTTGGGGTGTGAGTGTGTGTGAGCGCGCGCGCGTGCATGAGCCCATGTGTCTGCACACTGTGAAGTCTGGCCAGCTCCGCGCATCCGCAGGCTTCTGCATTTACACAGATGTGTGATGTAGACGTGGACACGCTTTTATTCGAGTCGGTTCAGCTACATGGGCACGCAGCAGCCCCCACGGAGCGCCTCCCCTTCCGAACGTTCTGTGAAGCATGGGATTTAGAAGCACTTTCGGATTCAGGTCGGAACCTGCAAGAGGGAAAGAAAAGAGGAGGGCTGTGATTGTTTCTCAGCAACTGGGGACTCGAAACGTGCGGTTTCTTCGGCCTCGTTGCCCCGGGCAGGCGCATCCTGGTGCGTTTTTGGTCCAGGTGATGGAGCCCACTCGCCCGGGCAAAGCGAACTGAGAACGCGGATTGCTGAAACTGATGTGAACTCCGTACAAAAGTGAAGGGCAGCATGTGTCTTCCAACTTCACATTTTATTTTCTCACTGGGAGTTGATGCTTAGTCCCTGGCAAATTCTAGAAGGTGAAGCGCTTGTGGCTAGTGAAAGTTCGGCTGCCCACCCGCCTCCTGAACGCTGCGCCCTGGCTGCGTCTGCCCTGCACAATGGGCGTATTCACGGGCAGAGCGCGTCACCGGCCACCCCACGCTTGCAGCTGACTTACTGTGGCACTGACTTTCCCAGGAATATCGGTAGTGATGTGTGTGGCTCTCGTAGTACGCACCTCGGGAAGCGTACGGACCCGACCTGAGCCGAGCACCATCTCCGTGTAAATGTTGGAGACGCGGTGTCTTCCGGGAGCATCGCGGGGTTGCTGCGCTTCTGTACCCACCGGGATGGGGATGATGCAATGGAGAGGTTAAGGACCCACATGCCCACTTCCTCCCTGGAGACCCCTGCAGGGAGACCCCCGGAAGGGACCTCGTCCACGCACGGGTGTTCTTGGCCACCAGGCCGCGCCGAGGTCACCCGAGGGTCCGTGGACGACCTTCGTCCTTCTTTTCTGCAGGAACCTAACTCGGTTACAAGGTAGCATCCGACCCCGCGCCTTCCCTCCCACTCGGGCCATTTCCGCCCCCCAATCCGAGTTCCACCTGATTCTGCCCCTCCCCAATCTCAGGAGCTGGCGGAACCGGGACTGGGCAGCCCTGGGAGGTGTCGTTGGATTAAATCATTCCTATTTCGGTGTGTCTGAGCTGCAGCGGCGCTGGGGCGCTACTGAGGGTCCTGGGGCTCGCGTGGCCAGGGGCCGGGGGCGGGAGCGCAGGGCGGCCGTGTGGGCTGGGGGCGGGTCGGGGCGGGGGGACTCACCTGCCCGCCCCGGGGTGGGGCCGGTGGCCGCTTGTTGCTGGGCTGCCAGGAGGAGGGCCGTGGGCGGGGCGGGAAGGGGCGGAGAAGCACGGGGAGGGCCTGGCCCGCCGCCCCCGCCCCCCGGCGCCCGCCCCCCGCCCCCGTCATGTGGAGCGGACGTCACACGGCTGCACTGTAACCCAAGAAGTGAAAGAGACGGACCCACAGCCCAACTTCGCACCATAACAAAGGCGGGGGTCTGTGCGGGCCGGGGGGCGGGGGCGAGCGGGGCGGGCGCGTGGAGCCGGCGGGGGCGGGAGCGAGGCCCGGAGGAGGAGAGGGGGCTGCGGGGGGAAGGGCAGGCCGCGGGGTGAGGGGGGAGCGAGCGGATGGGGGTGTGGAGGGCCGGGGCCGGGGAGGGGGGCGGGTCCGGTCCGGAACTGGGGTCTGCGCGGGGCTGCGGGCCAGGCGGGGGTCGGCGCGGCGGCGTGGACCGGGCTCCGGGGGCCGAGGCGCGGCGGAGGCCAGGTAATTGGTTTCTATTTTAAACTTCACTTTGTTCTGGCGGAGGTGGGGCGGTGGGAAAGGCGTGGCCCCGAGGACGATTACATAAGTGTTCACACCTGAACCGGTCCTGCGCCCGCGAGCGGATTTGGGGTGGGAGTTGGCGGTCGGCACCCGGGCTCGGGGCGCCTCGCGAGGGGCTGCTGCGTGCGGGTTTTGTGTCCTGCGTGTGTGACCTCACAGTGTCTCGGCGGTAAAGAGGCCGGGGATGGCTCTGTGGACTGCCTGGAAAAGCCCAGATGTGCCCGTGGGCGTTCAGCTGGCCTTCCAGGGGTGTCCCCTGCGTAACAAAGGAGGGAGCCCTCGGACCCTCCGGTCCACTCGCCGTGTTGACTTAACCAGCAAGTCACAAAAGGAACTTTAGTGGGGATCCGACTTACACATACAGCAGAAAGGCATTGCGCCTGTCAACCTGCCATGCAGTCTCGAATCTTGATTGAAGGTGATTTAAAAGCTGAGTGATGTACGTTCACCATGGGGCTATGGACTAAATACTATTAAAGATAATGGCTCCAGTAGATGCAAAGGGGGCTAGGCTCCCAAAAGGAGCTTTTTCAGCTTTTTTTTTTAAAAACCAGCCTATTAATATGATTGAAGTATTTTGGTTTAGGGATGTGTTGCTTAAAAGAGCTAGGCATGCATGTTATTTATTAGGATACTGGCTACTACCATGTAAAATAAAAAGAGCTCATTTTATCATTGGTTTGTTCCAGCTTCCTTTTCACTTGCATTCTTTGATTATGTCGTCAAGTAACTGTTATTTATATTTACACAGACCAGCCAGAATTAAATATACCGCACACCACTATTGTGCATGGGTCTGAGAACCCCTCGCCCCCTCTTAGTAAAATTGGAGAGTGAAACTGCGTAGGAGCCTGCCATGGTGTCAGGAGTTTGAGAGTTGGGTTACTTATAGGAGGACATCTTTAGTTTCACAGGAGTGACCCCCATGGCCATCTTGAATGGGCTCTGGGATGAATTCAACTCTGTGTAAGACTCACAAGTATTCTGGTAATTGAATTTGAATTTTGGTGTAAGGTACAAGCATGTCTAATGTTTTTCTTAATTCATTAGTATGGCTTTGTTTTCTTACACTTGCTAATTTGAATATAGTGAAACACCAGAGCACATTAACCTTCTAAAAAAATAATAATCCCGGTGGATCTGTAATAAAACTAACCAAGAGGAACGGGAATGCCTCTCTAAAATGAAACAACACCAAAATAGCAGGTTTAGTGTGTACAGCTTTCAACAATGCATAGAGAGATGGGAGTTCTGCTTATTTTTATTTCGGAAAGCTTTTGTTTATTAGAATAATCTTTCCAAATGGTTTAATATCCTGAAATGCACTAGATCAAGAACTTTGAGAAATGTGTCTGCTATGAATTGTTGACATCCTGAGAATAGTTTACCTCACCAGTGTTTTCCCATTGTTATTTGTAAACCAGCTTCAGCGTCTACTAATTCAGAGATTTTATTTTTCCTGGAATCCTGAAGTCCTACATTTCTAACTTTTTTTTTTTTTTTGTAAGATGTTGTCCCAGAGACCAAAATTGACTGAAGGGAATGAGAGAGGTCTTTGAAAAGAGGTCACAATGTGAAAAGCACTTTGTCTTCACTTTCATAAATGAAACTTTTAACTCCATTTACCTAACTTCCTCCTGCAAGGAGATATTTGAGTTTTATAAGTGAAGCATTTGATGTGATTAAGTTTAGCAGCATATGTGAAAAAGGAAAGGGGACTTCTTTAAAGAATACTTTGAAATGAGGTATGCTCCAACAGATGGTTTTCAGTCTTACCAAATGGGGAAAAAGGATAACATGGCCTAGCAATTGACGTAGAGCTTAGTCATGGGATTATTCTTGAAAAACTAGTACTCATTGTATTGGGTGGTTGTGGATTTTTATTTATTCATTGTCCAGAATACATGTTGGTCTTATTCATAATTTAAGAGAAGGCATCTTTTAAAAAGAATTTGGTGGGAGTGGTTGTAAGTCTGACTGGAGACTGTGTTTAGAGTTTCAGCTGCATTATACCTTAATGCCGTAGAGATAGAGACTGAAATATAAGCTGACTGCATTCTGCAGCAGGGAGCTTGTCCAAACGTGTGCACTTTCCTGTATAATATGCTTGTTTAAATGTTGAAGACATGCACTGTTTTGTTTTTTACTCCATTTTCAATTCAGGAGAAAAGGACTTGTGTTAATTACCTAATTAAAAATGGTATTTCGCTTATTACTAGATTCTGACTGAAGAAGGCATTGCTGTTAAATGTGCAGGAAACACGATCCACTTTCTCTTTGGTTTTCAGCTGGCCAAATTTAACTGGAGATGTGTAACTTTCTCAGTGATAGACATGGATTTAATTATTAGGAATATAACTGTAATGGAAGAAAGTTAAATTTATTTGATTAGGTATCTGCTTTATAAATGCTTGAACTTGGAAGTAACATTTCTTCTTCAAAAGCAGACATCTTTCATGCTGTGAATGTTTATACATTTTAGTGCTTGGATGAAGCTATTCTGACACAGTCAATTCTTTCAAAAATGCATCTCTTTGCTGTCCCGACCCCTCCCCCTCAAAAGTTCTAGAAGCTGTGGAAAAGTTCAGTTGCCTATCTTACTGAACGTAGTGCAAAGAATATCCGTGGGTTTGTTCACTGCTCAGGGAGCTGGACGTGTGCCGCTCTGACTTCCTTAGCACATCCTTACTTCCCTGAATTTGCATTTACTGCCTAACTAGCATCCTGCAAAAAGGCCTTTCCTGGCGGCCTGCGATTTGGCACCTTAGAGCTTCACTTCCAGCACTGTTAATGGCTAAACGTGAAGGACTAATTTTATTACTGTGTTTAGCTCACAGGACCTTGGAAGCGGCCCCTACCCTGTTGTTGGGAACTGCATGTCATTTAGATTTGCATTTTTCAAGTGAATTGTAGTGTCAGACTGTGCATCCGTTGTGAGGTCTGAGTGGGTGATGGTTGGACTACATCTCCCTGTGTGTGAGAGGCACCGAGGGATGTGGAGGTTCTCAGAGGCAGATGGAGGTGGGGGCTGTGGACAGGCCTCTGTTTGTGCAGTAGTGATTATTTGGTGGTTCCACTGTTTGGTTAGGTTCCCTTTGGGCTGGTGGCTAACTGGTGGCATGAGCTGACAGTGTAGCTGTTCCCTTCTTCTCCCTCCCCTCCTGGGGCTCTCATCCTCAGTCCTTCCACCTGACTGGCCGAAAGCGTAGTGGCAGCAGCCTATGATGGGAATGTATCTAGGGGCCGTAGAGAAGATAGTGTTTTTCAAATGGAAGCCCTGGCCTTGGTTTTCTCTGGTCCCAGGAACCAGTGAGTTTGGGAGTGGGGCGGGACGTTCTCTTTGATAGAGGAATGACCTCTGCCCTCAGTTAAGACCTCCCACCCTCCCACCCACCATTGGACGAGAACTATCAAAATCATTTGATTTTCAGGAATTTTGAAAAGTTGCAAACCCCTTTTAAGAAAAGAATCATATCAAATACTTACATTTATGAATGATTAATAAAATTAACCTTATGGGAGGAGGAGGAATAAAGAACAACTTTGACTTTAGAATGTCTCTTTCTGTTCTTTAAAAAGTATCTTTATTTTAAAATTAATTTTTCTAACAAGAATATTTTAGGGGAATGACTTAAATAGCTATAAATAGTATAAAGAAGGATACATTTATAAGGGCTATAAATGCATTGTTTGTATTTGAAATTTCTAGTATCCACTAAAGTATATGAAGTGTATTTTAGATGGACTGGTGAAAACCAGCAGTTGCAACTGTCTGTTTTGCATTCCTTATGCTCTGCATCTGGCCACACGTGACTTGAACAGCTGAAGCTTCTCTTTCCAAAGCTAGAGCCATCATCGTATTTATGTCTAGCATGAGATGTTTTCCAGTGGTATACATTCGAATTGTAAAGAAGTGTAATTTGTGGCTCTCAACATGCCTTAAAAGTCATTTCCAAAAAAGATCTGGCATTTAATCTTTAATTCAAATGGTACTGAAAATTACAAAGCAGGAGTAATTAGAAATGCAACTATTTTTAGAAAGCAAACATGTAAATATATGTTAAGTAATGACTAAAACACAAGCAGGAGAGTAGGAAAAATTATTTAAAAGACAACCATAGTAGGTTTAGATACATCTTACCATATACTGTATTTTAACTCTTTGTTAATTCTGGTAGATTTACTTTGTATTCCTGTTTCTGTATCTTCCCCCTCAACCTTGGTCAGGAAGTAAATAAAGTCTGTAGAATCTCAGAATTTACTGGGCCAAGAAGAGATATATATCGTGTATAATTGTGAAATCCAGACAATTCCTCAACTGAGTGGTGAAAATAGGATGAGATTTTTGTGTGTTTTGTTATTTTCAAGGCAGAGGGAATCTGGTGTTTTTTTTCCTTCAAAACCAGGTAGACAACGTCTCTCGCCGCCCTGGGGAGTTACTGGTGCCGGCTCAGCCTCCAGGATACAGCTGTCCTGTTATTTTCTTGCTTTTTTAGGAGATGGTGTGCGTGGAGGAAGATGTGGTGTTAGTTTTCAGGACACAGTTAAAAGACAGGCTTAAAAATCAAGGTTCTCTATTAAAACTATAATTTCTTGTTAATGGCTAAGAGTTAAAAATTTTTCAGCACTATTAACACTTGAAGAACTCTCTAATCCCTCACTCTTCCCA